CCGGCCCGTGGCTCCGCGCCCAGTCAGCTGCGCTGCCCGGCCCTGCTGGAAAGGCCGCGATGCGGAGCGGCGACGGCAGCGGGGACAGCTGGGGTGACTCAGCGCTTTGCTGTCCCCGCGGGGGGGGGGGGGGGGGGGGGGGACGCGGGCGCCGGGTGCCGCTCCTCCTGCGGCCGGGGGACGGCCCGTGCGCCGCGCTGCCGCGGGCACCAGGGGGAGCCGCGGGACGGGGCAGAGAAGCCCTCTGCACGGTGACGGGTGTCGTCAACCCGGCCGCCCCGCGCCTCGGGAGGTCCGCGTCAATCCGTGCTGCGGCGCACCGCGGCCTCTGCAGAGCGGTGCCCGACGCCGGGCCGGTCCCTGCCCCGCGCAGACTCAGCAGCGGGGGCCGGACGGGGCTGTTAACGAGAGGGGATGTTTTAGAATCGCCCGACGAAAAAGGGCATTTTGTAGCAACAAATTGGTACAAGTTCATTCGGGAATGTGGAGGAAGGGGCGGCCCCGTAAATCGCTGAGTCCACGTGCCTTAAGGAGTCCGGGGCCCCGGTACCCCGGCGGGTGACGGGCATCTCTGCATCTCCCTCCTCGGTAACTTTTCCCTCTGAAATCCACCGGCGCTTCGCCAGCCGCCAGCACCGCCTTTCCGCTTTTAACAATGCTGCAGCAGTGCCCCGTGACTCCAGGCTGGTTCCTCCGTCCGACAGGCTGCTGGCACTACACACAGCCCCCTTACGTCTCTGCAAATCCCCCTCCACGCGCACATCGCCCTCGCACACATCTGCCGAGTCATCGAGGACTCTGGTTCTCCCCAAAATCGGGGGAGTAGATGAACGTGCAGGGCTGCGCTACTGGGGAGGGGAAGTCGGCTCTGACTCTTGCCCCACGGCTGCTGCCCCACTCCGGCACACTCCTCAGCATTGCATCAGAACTGACCGCAGCGCTGTTGCAACCCCCGACCACTTGTGACACAGGAAGGCCTGCAGGTCTGGGGACGGGCAATCAGCCGCTGGGTCCAAAGCCCCTCCAGAGCCCCCCCAGGAGCTCTAGCGTCAGCTGCCCAGAATTCAGTGCCACCAATACTAGGAGTATGGGCGCAGCTCATCTGCCGACTGCCTGGGGGCACCTGCCTCACCCCAGAGCTCCGACGTGAAGTCATCGCCATCAGCCAGACGCGGTCTGTTCACTGCCGTGGGTGTGCAACCGCTTTTCACAGGGTGTGAATGAAGAAGGGAGGTGACACCTGTCCAGCCCCTGAGCCAGGGCGGCTGCTCACCGAGGGCCGGTCCCGACTCGCCCCTGGTAGCCCGGCACGTCGCGGATGAGCACAGCTTCGTCCCTGGGAGCGCCTCCCTGCCCGGTGAGTCAGGGCTTAGGGCTGCAGCGAGGTCTGGAATTACCCTCATTGTTCCGCACGCAGCAGGCATTTCACAATTCTCTTCATTTCATCTGAACCAGCAATTACACGTCTTCAGCTCGGTTCCAGCGCAGAAAGCCCACGGAGCAGGGGCAGAGCTGGCACCAGGATACTGCTACAGGAGGAGGGTGGGGAGCAGGCAGAGCAGAATTTTGCTCCTTGCATCCCCACAGTACACAGGGCTCTGTCATCTGTGCTATCTCCAACCTGTTGTACTCTTTCTTCCATCAACAGTTCGTTTTTTCACCGCAGCTGTACAGCAGAATGGTATACAAACAGACACAGGAGCCTCCTGGAGAAGCTGCACATCCTTTCACACCCCAAGGTGCCAGCAGCTTGTCGTACAAATCCTGCAAAGTCGGGGGCACTGCTCGCTGCCTGGCTCTGCCGCCAACCTGCACTGCAGACTGCTCGTGCTACAAACGCCCAGAATTGATTGGCACAAGGCAGCACGGAGACAGGAGACACCTAGCACCAACCCCTTGGCATCTGGGAGGTATTTCAGCCAGCACCTCTGCAAAGATTTTCATGGGGAAAGTGGACCCCACCACTCTGTTCCACACAAGTTAGCTTACTGGGCTCAATTTTTAATGCCTCAGTGCTCCCAGCCTGCCTCCCACTCACGGACTGTGTGCATCAGCACAGGCTGTGCTATCTGCAGATCTCTGAGGTCACCCAAAGGGCATTTATAGCACGGGACATGTAGGCATTTCTGGAGTCACACAGCCACCACGGCACCCTGTGGTCCAGCAGCACACCCAACCTGGGGATGTGCTGCACTGTAGAACCAGCAGCTTTTCCCACTGGCTCGGTGAGCCCCACCTTGCTCATTTAGCCCAGGCAACTCAGCTCTGGGTATGCTGATAGGCTCTGGCACAGCCTTCACAGCAGCACCACTGCCCTTAGTGAAGGTGACACTGGCTAGGTGACTTAGGGACAAAGAGGGGCCATTGTGAGAAGGTCATTTATGTTCAGCTTTCAGAGCAAGCTGAGGGATGACAGCACCTTTCAATGAAAACTCATTAGATCAGAGGCTGGGGCAGAGGTAGGGCTGGCTCCACATCACAGTGGGTGCCGCAGGGTGTTTTAAGATGGACCAAGCATCAGTGAAGTCACAGCAAAGAGCCAATGAGCCCCCTTAGAGGCAAAATTTCATCTGAACAAACGCACACAAAATATATGCGGGTATATGCAAATTTATGCAAATTAAATAGGCGGGGCCTCCCGCCCCGGAGAGGGGGTGCCTCCCCCGGTATAAGGCAGCAGCGGGGCCGGGCCGGCCGAGCGGAGCTACGGCGGTTCGGGCAGAGGAGGTGTGCGACAGCGGCAGCATGGTGAGTGCCCGGCGGACCCCCCCTCCGGGCCCCCGGACAACATGGGAGGGGCCCCCCGGGGCGGGTGCGGTTACCGCGGTGTCCGTGCAGCCGGGGTCCTGCACGCCGTGTGCTCCCTGTCCATGCCGGACTGCAGCCTTTCCCAGGCTTCTGTGTTCGCTCTGACCTAAGCAGGGGGGGCATCGGCTCGGGGAGGGCTGCGTTAAGGTTGAACCCGTCCCTGCTCCTCCTTCTGCACCCTTTTACGGCCACAGCGCCCGCAGAAGCATCGTACTTCTCGTGGCCGTCCCGAGGCGCTGACAGCAGCAGAGGTGCTGGCTGCGTGCTTCGGCTGCGGAGTTTCCTAGGGCTCACCGCTGGCTTTCGTGTTACGAAAGCTGATGGAGCTGCTGGGGGCGGGGGAGGGGGGGGGGCCGGCGGGAAGACAACGACGAGAGAGTGTCACTTTGCTCCTTGCTCCTCAGCTTCGGGAAGGATGGTGAGAGCCAGAAGTCCGTCTCTCTAAGGCTGCCAAGGGCTTGTTTCTCTATCCCTGTCCCCTCTGCCTGTGAGTGGCGCTGAGAGCACCCTGGGTGCTCCCCTCTTGTGGCTATCGGTGCTGCACCCAGCGCACAAAATGGCCCCACCGCCTTCCTGCCCGCTGACTCACAGCGGGGCACGGAGCGCTGGAAATCCGGTTGGGTTTGGATGCTCTGCCCGATGACACATCCCAGTCTTGGCAACAGCAGGACCAAGGCAGAGTTATTTTGGCGCTTGTCAGAAAGGCTGCAGCTGTTGGGTGTCTCACCTGGAGGGAGGGAGGCTGCAGGACGGATCTCAGCCCGTTGCTGGGGGACTCTCTTGCATCATCAGCTTTTGGTTCAGCTGCAGCATGCAGTGAATGCCTCCCACTCCAGAGCTAATTTAGGGAAGTGGAGCCTCCGAGCATGGCAACCATTCAGTGCTGCAAACTAGTCCCCAGTCAGGTTCTTGCTCTCAGTGCCATCACAACCACAGCTTCCAGGGCATGGGCACTGCTCTGCCATTACAGCCCTGCTCTGAAAGTAGCAGATGGGCAGGGGCCATGCCAGCTGCTGTGGGGCTCAGCCTTCCAACTGTGTGTGTTCGTGAAATGAAGGAGATGCTCCCTGGGTGCTCCCAGGGTTGTTGGCTGTGGCAAAGCAGGGAATGTGCTACACCTGTGGCCCCCACCAAACTCTGATCCTGCTTCCCCCTCCCCAGCGCGAGTGCATCTCCGTCCACGTCGGCCAGGCCGGCGTCCAGATGGGCAA